CAGACTTCCTACCCAGCAAGCAAGTCCCGTTGAGTTCATCAGATGGGATCCACTCCTTATAGTCCTCTTCCTTGCAAGGACTGCCTAAATTTTAAAGGAATATACCAAAAGCACACTTGTCCAGCGTTTTAAAAGGAACATTTACAATCTATGCATAAGTTTAGTTCTCCACTGTTATTGTTAAGCCGGTCTTAGTTAGACCCTATACAGCTGTGAGGAGCTTTTTGGTACCTTTCATTTACAAATGATTTCAAATTGATAGCCTTGTTCAAGTTGTTCTTGTTCAAGTTGGAGTGAACTCTCTCCTCTCAGGGCGTTCTATATAGGGGTTAAATCCAGGTGGAAGAAAAGGGCCCAAGATAACTTGCATGCCGGCACGTGCAGAGCGAACCCAATTTTCCCCTCGGATCGGAGAAAAACCATATATGGCAGAACTTGTGGCAGAACCTAAAGACCATTTATTAATTTAAAGAAGGAACACCAAAAGAGCCTTCGTAAAACTTAACCTGGCTAAAAACTAACGACCAAAACAATATAGTCATTAGCTGTCATCTTCAAATCGTGCAATTAATGACGGAAAACTCGTTATTTTTACTTACTTACTTGCTAGCTAGAGTTCAAATCACTCGCTCAAACGACGAATACTTGATTCAGGCGGGAATTACGAATGAGTAGTAACCCCGACGGTGAATTATTTGTTATCGGTTAGTCGCCTGGTTTTTGTTCATTTTTTGACAGTGTTTCGAACTTTTCCAGCATTTCTGGTTTTATCAAATGCTTATTATAAATAGCCCATTCCCGAGATGTCTTAAGCCTCTCTATCAAAGCGAGGCCTGGGGCCCGTTTCTCGAGAGCCCCCAAAACTTTTCGGGCCCGTAAAGCCATAGCAAAATCTCGAACCTTACGATTACAGAGCTACTTTATTCACATATCCTTAATATGAACAGAGGTTTCCTTCATAAAATAAGTTTCAGGCGCATACACCTCTCCGTTTTTGGATACAGTTAAACTAAGAATGGCTTTACCTTCCCGAAATGTTTCCGGGGCTTCGAGAAACGAGCCCCTGGTCCACAACCATTCATATGAAAATGAGTTTAATTCGCATGTCAATGAAATCTCATTTTCACACGAAAGGATAAGCACCAAGACTTGCTTTGAGAAAGGGGCTGAAGGTAATTCGGAAATGGCCTATTGGATTTTGATGCAATTTACGACAGTGTGTCTTACGCTTAAAAATGTGGGATTCGTCATTTGAACGATTAGTTTAAATCATTGCGCGCATCAAAACCACACTCTGATTGGTTCGTTTTGTGTATGCAAGTTATCCTGGACTCTTTTCTCCCTTTTCTTTTCTCTTCTCTTTTTTCATTTCTTCTGAATGTGTTTCCAGCGCGTATTACACATACGCGTGCTAAAACAATGGTTTACAGCACGTCTTTGTTTACTTTGTACTTCATGCGAGCGCTGTCCGTGCGTGCGTACGCGTACAGTATTTTGTATGGCGTGGCTGAATCATATCATCCACTGAAGATGGGCTGATCCCGAAACATTTCGCAAACCAACTACTATTTGACATCTTAAAGAGTCTTCGGCCTCATATTTCAGTTTATCGTCATAGTGTCGCGCATCATGCGAGTTTTTGCGCATTTCTACTGATTTTTTCTTTTCTCCCGCCTGGGATTAGCACCTATAAAAAGTGGGAGAAGGGGACTTCAGGGACTGAACTAAGCTGGACTGTGCTTCTGTCATTCAAGAGTTCTACTTCTGTGGTTGAACGTTTCCTAGCTAGCAACTCGTTGTCTTCTTTGTATTGAGCTTGACGTTTGGCGATGTACAGGGCATTACAATCAAAGAACGCATGGTCTGTTCTGCCTAAGATATTGTTATTATTCAGTTACCTAGCACCTTCCTCAAGTTAATTTGGAAAACAATCCATTTGTGTATTCTAGGAATGGATCCATAAATTGTAAATTCAGCACTCTTTTCACCAGGCTCCGTCAGAAGGCCGTGCACATATAGCTTGGAGTTCTTTAAGAACTTATAAATTTGCCAGGTCTTGCCTCCATTCCAGCTGTAACTAAAAATTTAAAAAAGAGCCAAAATTTATTACTTTACAGTAACCTACTTTCACTGGCACATCGATTTGTTAGTATGTAACAAATGAAACCCATTTTCCCACAGAAATTACGTCCGTGTTTAAAACTCCACTGGGATCAAAAGCCTCAATTACGTAGATTCCATGCAAAAGTGTTGACACCACTTGCATTGCTTGTATGATTTGTAAACTGAATGGGATTTTTTTTTTACAGATGTCACGTTTTCCCATTTTTTCATTCCAACAAAAAGTTAACTGTAAGGTTTGATTTATCACGCCGAATTTAGTAAATATGTGAAGTTTAATTAGAATCCGTTGCAAACTCATAAAAATATAGAACCACTAATTTTCCACTTTTTACAAAGAAATGTATTGCAGGAGTGCTCCCCCTGGCAGTCCGATATTTTCGGACTTCAACTTTCCAGGTTCGCTTGTTTCCCGAAAACGTTGGGTACGAGGTTGGGGGCTCATGCGTCAGGGCTCAAGGGGATGCCTTGTAAACATCGCAACAAGCTCCAAATTAAGAAAAAAAAAGTTTAACAGGCATTTACTTGGCTCTCAAACGCTTCTCGTCCCTTCCCTCAGGTAAACCATAGTGATGTGACGTTAATCATTGTCAAGTTATATTTGACTTACTAAATCAGGTTCGTCAACGAGTCTCTGGGAACAGCAATGAAAATACCACCAACACCCAGTTCGTTCATTCTTCCCCAAACGCTCGGTCCAGGGGTTCTGACATTTTTTGTACTTGCCGGTCGGATTAATGGATAAAAGTTGAACAAATTTCTGTTTCATATAGGGCTGGCCATTCTTCTTTTCAACCTACAAAAGGTACTGTTTAAGATAAAACACTTCAGTTATAAAAACCAAAGCCTACCAGGCTGCAGTTCAAGGGATTTCCATAAGCGTCCACTTCAGGAGCTGCCACTGGCTTCCACAATCCACCTTTATTGAAGGTAATCTTGGTCAAGACATGCCGGTGTCCAACCGGACCAAGAGTGAGTTGACTAGCAATGTACACTCCATTTATTCCGCTCACTTTGTGAAGGTCTACAAATGCGTTATTTTTGTAGCGCCTGGGCAGAATAAAAGAAATGTCAATCTAATGCAGCGGGCAGTTCGCAACTTCTGAATAGGTCAATAATTAAGGAGACTTAATGGCTTTATCATGGTTTACTAGCGTAACTGTCATATTCTGTCCATTCGCTGATTTCAAATTCGTTTCACTTACGTAAAAGTCTCCCACGCCATCCCTGTTGTGTAGCCTACAGCAACCTCTCTCCCCCCTCCCCCGTCAAACTTCTCCAAGTTTTTAAAATCCCGAAAGAATAGGGTAAAAAATAAAACGTTACCAAATCCTTAGATGACAATATTTAAGGAAATTCACAAAATGACCTCGGTAGATCTACTAGTCCGTGTTCTGTACAGTAATAGGAAGAGTTAAACACTGATTCTACAGACAATTAGCTTCCAGTTTTGCTAGTCATGCAGATACTTGTCTGTTTACTTTATTATTTGCGTGGATTTCGGGCTTTGCGCTTGGCCTTCTGGCCTTCTTGGCTCATGATATATAACATATACCCATGATAGTTATCGTTGATTAATCGGAGATTAAAATGGTAGCAGGAACCAGTGACACAATTAACAACTTAAACTTACCTCAACCATGGAGAAGAGTTCTTTTCAGAGAAATACAGCACCCTTTCCATAGACAAGCTGTATTTTGTTCCAGAAGAGTCTGAGATGTAGAGATGAGCTGTCCTTCGATCATGAGTGACCGCCAGGAAAACCCTGTTCTCTGACACATCAGCAATGTAGAAATCCTACAATGTGCAATGCTTGGTCAAGTCACTTAGAGGCAAAGAAAGGCACGAGCATCCGTTTATTTCTTATGTCGAAGTGATTAACATTTTAGAACAGTGATGTACTCATCTTTTTTCCTACAACCAAACAACTAAAAACAGAGGTAAGATACGTATTCTAAAGCTTTGCGGGGCAAAGTAAAGAAAATGAGGAAATATTTAGGTAATGACTGCATTTGTGGCCTATCACGTCTTTGATTTCCGATCCCGAAGATTAACGCAATTCAGGTATGCGTAGCGCGTGAAGTAAGTGTTAAAACTAAGTTTCATCCTGAACAATTAACTATTCGTCTGATTCAAATAATAGAATAAAGCGAGGAATGAAATCAAGCATTCTGAACACTGATTCTTTTCTTTAGAATCCTTGGGAGAGGCAGGCGTGACCTTTGTTTGCTGTAACAACAAAATATAAACCAAATTTACAGACCTTTGTCTGAGAGGCTGTGGGTATTTCAGCTGTCTGAAATGCACCACGGTCTTGTGACACCAGCAATGTAACAAAGTCAGGTACCCAGGACTACAAGAGAAAAAGAGGCATCAAACTACTTTACTTTAGCTCGCAGGTTGTACTCCAATATATTAGAAAGTTCATTTGGCCAGTTCCTCATCATCAACTGTCCAGAGGACCGGAGTGGGACAAACGTGTATCTTATCAGTTTTGGATGGGTCGATAAACTCACATTTGTCACTATTAATATCCTTTCTCTTAATAATTTCAGCAGGCGCATAAAAGACTCGTTTTCCGTGAAATCACAGATCACTGTCAGCCTGCTGCGTAAAAAAGGTAGTTTACACTAGCGACATAAAGACATACACACAACGACATAAGAAGGACGTTATGTCATTTTATAATAAAGTTTCCATATAACGCGCGCTCTGATTGGCTAAAACAGCGTGCTTTATAAGAGAACAGAGCACGGGTTATTGACAGTAAGCTGGCTTTCAAATTTTTTTGCTTCAGAATTTTGACAAATTTGACCCAAATTAAACATCCCCTGTGATTCAGACAAACGAAATGGAAACGAGCTCTATGTCTACAGCAAATACGGCTCACGGAGACCATTGTTAGCAACAGTAGTGTGAAAACTCCACTAAAATGACAAGTTTTGCTAGATTCCCGCCGACAAAACACGTACGTAGCGAAATAAACAAATTCTCAACCTAACCAGTGCTTCGATAAAGGACATCATAAATGTTACGAAGGCAGAAATTATACTAATTATACTAAGTAGAACAACGACAGAAAGCAACAATGCTGTCTCTGTTTATGATGAGAAGCTTTATTTTTGTAAAAATGCTCAATTGTTCAAAATAACACTTACATGCAGTGTAGCAACGCTCGTTCTCTGGTCATCTCTGTGAAGTGAACCGACGAGTAGTCAGCTCAAAGCTTGCTCTAGATATTCTCCTCTGTGGTCGGAGTAGAACCAGTGGGAGCAGTTTAGTCTGCCTAACTTTTACGTTAGTTCGGGCAATCTTGCTG